AAAGTAGAGACAGCAAATTTTGGTGAGGATGTAGAGAACTCAAACTCTCATACATTGCTGGTGGGAGTGTAAAATAGTGGAGTCACTTTGGAAGACACTTTCTTGAAATGCTAAATATAGAATTACCATATGGCCTAGCACTTCCACTCCTAGGTATATATAATACTGAAGAGAAATGAAAACATATGTCCACACAAAGATCCATACATGAACACCATAACAGCATTATTCATAATAGCCAAAAAAGTGGAAACAACCCAAATGTCCATCAACTGATGAATGGATACACAAAATGTGGTATCCATTTTGTGTATAATATTAAAAAATTATATAATTGAATATTATTTAGCCATAAACAGAAATCACATACTGATACATACTACAACAGATAAAACTTAAAAACATTCTGATAAATGAAAACAGTCAGACACAAATGGCTACATATTGTGTGATTCTACTTATATTAAATGTCTAGTATAGGCAAATTTATAGAGACAGGAAGTAGATTTGTGGATGCCTAGGGTTGGAGTGGGGAAGCTTTAGTGAATATGGGGAGTAACTGTTAATGGGTATTAGGTTTCTTTTTGGGCTGATAAAAAATTCTGATATTGGTGATTGTTGTACAGTTCTTACTAAAAACCACTAAATTGTATATAAAAATGGGTAAATTGGTATGTGAATTACATCTCAATAAAATTTAAAAAAATAAGTGGGGTGGTTGCATGTATCCGTACATGTGACAAAATTACATAAAATACTAGACACACACATATTACAAATGAGTACATGTAAAAACTGGTGAAATCTGAATGTCTACTGACTCTACCAATGTGCATTTCCTTGTTTTTATAATATACTATAGTAAAATAAGATGTAATCATTGGGAGAAGCTAGATAAAGTGTACATGTGACTTCTCTGTACTAGTTTTGAAATTTTCTGAGTCTATAATTAGTCCAAAAAAAAAAAAGGATGGGGCAAAGGTATACAATGCTAAAACAAATTAAAGTTTAAGTGGTTATATTAATATAAGCAGATTTCAGAGCAAAAATTATTGCCAGGGATAAAGGAAGACATAATAATGATATAGGGGTCAATTAAGCAAGGAGACAATAATTCTAAATGTTCATATAAATAGCAAAGTTTCATGATAAGCTTTTCACTAATCAAAAATTGATAGTTGTGTCCTAGCCAGTTTGCTCAGTGGTTAGAGACCACAGACTGAAGGGTCCTGGCTTTGATTCTGGCCAAGGGCACGTAACTCGGTTGCAGGCTACATCCCCTCCCAATCGATATGTCTCTCAAGTAGATGTTTTTTTCTCTCTCTCTGTCCTCCCTCCCTCTCCTTCCACTCTCTCTGTGTGAGGATTAAAAATAATAAAAAAATACATAGGAAAAAAATATATACATTCAACATAAAATGTACAGTTAAGTGGGATTACTGAAGTATGCTCAAATTGTTTTCCAACCATCACCACCATCCATCTCCAGAACTTCGTCTTCCCCAACTGAAATTCTGCACCATTCAACAGTAATTCTCCCTTCCCTTCTTCCTCAGAAACCACCATGCTATTTTCTATGAATTTGACTAAGTGGAATCATGTATGTCTTTTTGAGATTGGCTTATTTCACTTAGCTTAATGCCCTCAAGCTTCATCCATGTTGTAGCATGTGCCAGAATTTCCTTCCTTTTGATGAGTATCTCATTATAGATATAAAACATTTTATTTATTCATGCCTCTGTGAGGAACACTTAGGTTGCTACCTTTTAGTTATTGTGAATAATGCTAATTGGGTGTACAGATGTCTCTGAGGCTTTCAAATACCTGGAAGTGGAATTGCTAGATCACGTGGTAATTGTTTTTTGAGAACTACCATACTGTTTTCTGTAGCAGCTGCACCACTTTATATCCCCATCAACAGTGCAGAGGTTCCAATTTCTTCACATCCTTATCAACATTCATTTTTGATAGTAGCCATTCTAATGCATGTGAGCGGTACTTTAATGTAATTTGGATTTTCATTTTCCTGACTAGTGATGCTGAACATCTTTTCATGTGCTTATTGGCCACTTGTAAAACTTCTTTGGAGAACTGTCTATTTAAGACCATGGCCATTTAAAAGTTATATATTAATCCCTTATTAGATGTCATTTGCAAATATTTCCTTCCAATCTGTGGGTTGCGTTTTTCACTGTTGTGTCCTTTGAAACAGGAATTCTGATGAAACCCATTTTACCTATTTTTTCTTGTTGCCTGTTTTTTTTTTGGGGGGGGGGGGGTTGTCACAGAAATGAAATCATTGCTAAATCCAATGACATTAAGCTTTTCCTGTTGTTGAGTTTTATGGTTTCAGGTCTTACATCTAGGTCTTTGATCACTTGTAGTTAGTTTTTGTGTATGGTATAAGAGAAGGGCTTAACCTTATTCTTTCGTACTTGGATATTATTTCCCCAACACCACTGGTTGCAAAGACCAGGTTTCCTTTTTGTATGCCCCAAAGGATGACTGTTGTTCACTAGCTGTTAGCAGGAAATATATATGGAAAAATTTTGGTGGGGTAGATAATGGAACTAATTTTTGAGAACTCAAAATTGAAGATAAATCAGATTTGAGGGAAACCAAGAATGTGAAGAAAACTAACTTGAAGAAGCAGAAGACAAACGTAACCATGAATGGAGAGTGTCCCTTGGAATTAGCAACTAGGTGACCTTGATGAGAACTATTTGGTGGACAGGTAGAGGTAAAAGCCAGGCTACAGTGAACTGGATAGGTAATGAAAAGAACTACACCTGTCACCATGGATAAACCTAGGAAATGAAGTTGAAGTGAAAAGCAATTTGCAGGAAGATATATAATGTACAATATACAATTTTATTTAAAGTTTCCAAACTTGCAGAACGCTAACTTTGGGTACATAAATAGGTACTAAGAGCATCAACTCACATACAGAAATGATAAAACAACCAATTCATGATAGTGGTTACATTTGAGGGAGGGAAATAGGACTAAAGAAGGGTATACTGGGGTCCTCAACTGTATCTGTAATGTTTACTTTCTTAAAAACTGGGTGTACAATAATCTGCATGCTTTAAGTATTTTGCAATTTTAAAAAAGTCCATCTTTAAGTGAATGATGGTAGAAGCATGGTCAGAGTATAGCTAACTAAACTGGTCCATTAGATTTTTTTTCCTTTAAAAAATAAGGATCATTTAGTAAATAATCTGTGCCAGTTTCAGATTCTTAGCAAATGATTTTAACAATCCTCTGTTTTGTAGTAGATCTATTGTTATAGATGAAGCAGAGGTTAAGAAATCATTGTTAAATGGTGTACTGAATATTTGGACACAGGCATTTAATCAGTTTGAGAATCAGGAAGGAGTAATTCTTCAAAAGGTTTGTTTAAACTATACACTCCCTGATCATTCTGTGACAGAGGAAGTTAGTTGTACATTTCAAGGATGGGAAAAATGAGAGGGAAAAGAATTAATGGTAGAAAGGAAGGAGTAGCAATAGCAAGGTCCTTGAGGTGAGAAGAAATAGAACTATGGCACTGGTGCCTGTAATAGTGTTGAAAAATACACTTATCTAAAAAAGTAAATTGGGAGTTTAACTGTACAGAAGGGCGAGGAAATTACCAGTTAATATCCCTAAATTTCTTCCTGAAGTGAGAATTACTCAGATTTGGCAGCTAAGGGGCCTATCGTTAGCCTTATGAGACTAATATGTTCTACCCCAGTGAAACAGGACATCATTCTCAGCCAGAAGTCAGTTTGTGCCTCTCCAGGATAGCCTACCACAAAGAAAAGGCCCTGATCTTTAATGGCTGTTTTTGGGGAAGACATTTGACCTCTTCAATCCTCAGCTTCCACTCACATCACTAAAATAAAACCTACTCTTATAGGAATCAAGAAGACTGGATTCAATAAATCAAAGGTCTATAAACTTTAGTTTCATGATATTGACTTAACTTCCTTTCTAACATTCCTCTGGGTATAATATCACTCTCTCATTTTAGAATTCTTGCTTCTAAGTTACTTGTAGCCTATTTTAGTCCTCTGCTTTCCCCCAGACCGTATTTTTAACAACCTAAACTCAGAAACTTGACTCTTCTTAGGACTTCTATATCACTATCTGTATTTAACAACAACTGGCTAATCACATGTATCAGTTTGTCTGCTACAGCTCTGGTTTTCACTCATTGTCTTAGCACAATTATTACTACCCTAATCATACTTTACTTTGTAGATTAAAATGTCTGAGAGTGTTTGCATTGTATATAATAGTCAAAATCCTCCTTCATGTGGTACCTTCTGATGTTACAGAAAGTGCTGTTTTCTCATCTACATCCATTATGTGATCTCTCCAATCCCCTACCCAAGCTCTTACATGTCAAAATTTAAGCAATGTGAACTGCCTCTCACAAAGTAAAGATGAGGTCCAATGTATTCAGAAAGATTATAGGTCAGAGAAGGGGCTGATTATTAAATAAAGAAGAACCAGCATTTGCTAATTGTTAACATCTAGGAAAGAAATTGGAAACGAGAAACTTAACAATTTTAAGTTGTATTCTCTGAAGACAAGAAGGTCCTAACAGCCTAGTACAATGTGTTCCTTCTTACAAGAAGTGAAAAGGCTGAGATTTTAAGGGGTAATCTGCGGCACTAAATCTTTTCAATTGAAGCTGAGGTCTTAAGAGTAATAAATGTGCTCTCATTTGTAGAATCTTCATGCTTTCTGAGGGGGAAGAGATCAAGCACCCACTGAGTTCATCCCATGAGAAGCCGTAACTTTATTAATGATAGAAACAGTACAAATTTCAAACCAAGCTGCAGTAACTCTTCAAAACACCAAAAAAAAAAAAAAAAAAAGGC